GCGCGCTGCTTCCGAGAGTCAGATCTTAAGTCACTCCGTTTGAACAGATTACTGGCTACGGACACCCAGAAGCGCTCGTTGACGGAACTTGGTTAGTGAAAGCCTAATATTCTTGTGCAGACTGAAGTACTGATCGTAGATTCGTAGGTCACTATTTGTGGGTTTTGATTTTATGACGCAAAATCGACAGAATGCTGAAGGGTCTACAGATCTCTATAGCTATTAACGTGAGTGCGGTTCCATACGCTCGAGTGCGTGGCCCTAACATACTGCAGGTAACCATCGCATTCATAGTCCAATGGTGCGTACACATAATCTTTCTGCTTTGGCTATGTCCTAAAAATCCACAGCTTTTTTACCCACCGGATATTCCAACGTACGCTGCCATTTCGCCCTTATTTCTGAAAGGACTTGACCAACTTGCGAGCAGTCTGTTCACCACAAAAGCGATGGTGGGTCACGGGCGTCATCGCCCTCACAGTTTTCTGTCATTTTGGTGAGATCCTCCCTTCTTTGTTACGAGAGGACGCTATTGATTTGATATCGAATAGTTTTCGGAATTGGTGAGTGCGGTTATGGACCGTAAGTGGCAGTTGTTGACATATTCTGTCGATCAGAAACTGTTGTATTCCTGTAAGTGGAAATTCATGCCGTCCTGAATCATTCGTCGAATGCAGCTTCTAGATTTATCAAGAAACAATTCTCGCGTCTCAAGGAAATCGCAGTACGTGTATCACGGCTAAGTCAGTCGGCCCCCGTATTTATCCACTCTCTGCAGCACATGGCCGCTGTTCCCTTTGGAGTATTCGCCATCTTGTCAGACATATTCATCGCAGTCGCCCTATGCCTTCTTCTTGGCAATAACCGGTCGGATTTCGACGACACCAACAGTGTCATCGACAGGCTTATCATATTCGCTATCAACCGGTGTATTCTCACTTCGTGCGCTTTCTTGCTTTTCTTAACGTTCAACGCTCACACTCATTGATGCAGAGCAATGGCAATTCTGGAAACGATTGTATTTTCCGTGCTACCGAATTCTTTCTATTCGATAGCGATCGACTTCGTGATTGGAAAATGTGCGTTAACACACTTTTTAATCTCGTGTAGCGCCTCATGAAGGTCTAGTATACGCCAACTCATTGCTTGCCGTGCTCAACTCGCGTGCGACCCTGCGGAGCAGCAACTCTAGGGGTGAATTTGACTCCACCGAGTTGTCGACGCGATTCCACATTGCATCGGCAGTGGCCCCGAATTATCAGACGACAAGTCTTGTTCAGGTATGCAAACGTTTCCGAGTATTCCGAACTTTCGTATACTCACACACGACGCAAGGTTCGAACACGAGATAGCAACAGAGGGGACCGAGCAAATGTCAGTGATTCGGAAAAGGAAAGCAGACATATTATTGTCAGTGCTGTATAGCTCGGAAAACCGACGGAACTCACTAACTTGATCTGGTATAGACAACATCGAGTTCACCCAATGGGAAACGTCAACGACCATTGGGCGACGATGTGCATGCCTGAACACAGCCTTGGTTTATTGCAGTAAAAAAATATAGCTTGATTAGGACAACTCGCTACGCTGGAGCAACCTGGAGCTGGGCGGTTTTCTCAACGACCGTATGACGTCGTCGATGGAATTGGGGCGGACATGCGGCCTGAAGGTTACCTTGATTGATAGGCACGCAGGGGGGATCGTGACGCTCGGCTCGGTAGGCTGGAGCAGCCAAGGAGCAGGGGCGTAGTCAGTATGCTCTAGTTGTATGGTGGTGTTTGTAATGGAAGGACCCGACGACACCACACAGCCTGGATGATTACGGTTATTGCTGTAAATTCCGCATGCTTCAGGAGCCATAAGCCTGCCATTGCTTGCTCTCTCTCTTCATCCCACCAATGTCCGCTGCCACGGGCAGGCTCATATTTGTCTTCGTTCTCGTCGTAAACTGCATTCTCTGGTCAAGAAGCCGTTATGGACAGCCAATGCAAGCAAGTCTGCTCCATGGAGAAGCCAGCCTCGTAAAGCGAATATCATTTGAGCTGTCGCAACCTCAGGGAACTCAGGTATACGACGGCTATTCTGGGCACGAGGCGAGCATCACGCTATAATGCCTCGTTATTGGATCTAACAGTCAGTCTAACAGTGTCGACCTCTCGCGTTCCCAACAGCTTCCCAATGTCAACACGTCGAAGCGGACTGCCCGTCGCCGGATACCACCCTCGACATCGACTACCTCCGTCGCTACTTCTGCACTGAACTCCGACTGCGGCCTTTGGTGTTCGTCGGCCTGATTATATGGCTCATTTTCCTCTTCTCCACCCTCGGGATCAGTGCTTCCGATTTCTTCACTCCCAATCTAGCCACCATCGCACAGCTTCTTGGTTTGGACGAAAATGTCGCAGGCGTCACTTTCCTCGCCTTCGGAAATGGGAGTCCAGATGTATTCTCGACATTCTCCGCCATGCGCGCCGATTCGGGGAGCTTGGCCATCGGCGAACTCCTGGGCGCCGCAACTTTCATCGTCTCGTGCGTTGTGGGTTCGATGTGCATCATCAAGCCTTTCAAAGTACATCGTGGTCCATTCCTACGAGACGTGGGGTTCTTCGCCGTTGCAGTGATATTGATGCTATGTACGTTGTGGGATGGCAAAATATCGTCATGGGAGGCTGGAACGCTGGTCGGGATGTATGTGGGGTATGTGCTGGTGGTGGTGTTTGCATCGTGGTGGGATCGCAGGCAGGAGCGTAAGCGGCATATGGTAGCCCTTATCCGGGATGAGTACGCGGAAGAACCAGTTTTCCAACCTTACACAGATGCACGTAAGCATTGCAAGCAACATCCTTGATGCCGTCATTGACATTGTCTTGTATCTACAGCATTGCCATCTCTGGCAGTAACACCAGCAAGCCCTTCCCGACTGCGCGCGATTTCTGCTCCAAACCCTCCTCGATTGCAGACTAACATCGCCCCTGCGCGACCTTACTCGCGGTCTCCTTCACCGAGCTCATCCCACGTCACCCAGCTTCCGTCGTTCTCCCTCATTGGCGCGCTCGAATTCCGTGAAGTTGTCGCGTCACTCAAGAACCAGGCAGCAGGAACTTCTCTGGGCTTCTTCGAGACTCCCATCACACCATATGCAGGAGGCCACTACCACATCCACTCGCGCTCCGTATCACGCACTCCCCATTCATCGTTGCAATCGAGCATGGACGAAGAGACACTGAATGGACTCCAGCTCGACGAACGTTTGCATCCACATGCACACGGGGTTTCACCGTTCACGTCTGGTCCGCTGAATGACGAACCCCGAGGTTCACCCAGCGACTATTTCGGGCACCTCCCATCACACGATCCTCCTCCTTCCATCTACCGCACCCCTGCTTCCCCCTCCACTACTGTCTCCGAGGCTTCAAGCGAAGAGCAACTCTACGCCCCGCCCACGAAACGACAGCGCGTGTATCACTGCATAGGCAGAGTCTTCCACACTCTTTTCCCGACGCTGCATCATTTCCGGGAACAGAGCCCTTTGACACAACTGGCTTGTTTGCTTGCAGCGCCTGCTGTGTTGTGTCTTACGTTGACGTTGCCTGTTGTGGTGACGCCTTATGAGAACAGTCATTCGTCTCGGGAGAAGACGCACCATGCAGATGGAAGGCTGGTTGATTTCGAAGAAGAGGGCATTGAACGCGTGCTCATTGCAGAGGAAGAAGTATCGGAGAATATCCACGAGCTGTCGTTCAACAAGTGGCTTATGGCTGCCCAGTGCGTTTTCGGGCCGCTGTTCTGTGTTTGGGTTCTTTTCGGTATGAGCCTATCTATTCCTAACCAACTTCATGCTAACGTTTTCTTTAGGTGGAAGTAGACACCAAATGTGGCTGTTGCTAGCTGCTGGGATTGGAGGATCCGCTATTGGCACTTTGGTCACGATCTTCGCCGAGAAGGCAAATAGTCCGACAGCTCGCATGACGCGTTGCTCGATGGGTTTCTTCGTCTCAATTGTTTGGATCATGGCTATAGCCGATGAGGTTGTCAATGTTCTCCAGGTATGACCCCGTATTTGTCGTGTTCCCTTAACTGCTGACTCACGAATGATTTCAAGACTTTCGGACTTATCTTTGGTCTCTCGGATGCCATTATTGGTCTGACCATCTTCGCTATGGGTAACTCGCTTGCCGACCTTGTTGCTAACATGAGTGTCGCCGTGCGTAAAAAAACCCTCGTCGCCTCTTTCTTCTTCACTAACTGTGTTGTCCAGGCCTTTGCTCCAATAATGGGCTTCTCCGCCTGCTTCGGTGGACCCATGCTCAACATCCTCCTCGGCGTCGGAATCTCAGGCTCCTACATCATAAGCCAAACATCCCAACCCTACTTCCTCAAACTCTCAACAACGCTCTTCGTCAGCGCCTTCGGTCTCCTCTTCCTCCTCGCCGCCACACTAATCTTCGTTCCCCTAAATGACTATTTCCTCACGCGGAGATGGGGCATGTTGCTGATCGCCACATACACGGTTATAATGGTGGTCAATGTTATCGTCGAGCTCAAGAGTGAACGTTGAACTCGATGCTTCTGCTCTTTTTCCTACGTCAACTTTGCATTGGATTGTACATCTATTATGTTATCTTTTTGGTGGACTAATAGTAGTCAGTATGGGCGCGATTTGTATTCTACTCAATACCAGCATTTTACAACCAAGATTTGGATTAGACGCTTGTTAGACGCCTGTTTTTGTTGACTAGTTAGAAATGAATTGTTGCCATTGTAGATGTCCTTTTGCCTGATTTTGCCCTCGAGTTTTTGTCGCTCTCACATTGGCTACTATTATTTGCTTCATTGCACACTATTCACCATCCCACTGAAAGCTTATTCGATAATGCTTTGACCTTTCTTTATCGCGCTCAGAAAACAAAAAACCTGACACCTTGGCCTGATCAAGGAAGATTCAACCCTGGATATAACCCCTTTAGGACTATGATGCACGTTAACAAACAAATATTCATCCGACTTTAGCTCAGTTGGAAGAGCGCGAGACTGTAATGTGATACCTGACCATCTTGAGGTCGCCTGTTCGAGCCAGGCAAGTCGGATTCCTTTGATGTTTTTGCCCTTAGTAGGAGGGTAAAAAAGAAACGAGATCCCGAAATCGCTGTGTGAAAAGTAGCCTGTCCGAGACAAACCGAATGGATTACTTTTCTTACATTGTTAGACGACAGTTCAATGGCTAGCTGCGAAGAACACGCCGAGAGTGCGTTCGAAAATTTTCAAAGGAAGTTTGGGATTTTCATCGCGATCTTGCGGTTTTCATCTAGTGTTATAGACAAGGGTGTCCATCTTTGAATTGTGCGGAGTTCCAGACTACCATATTGTTACCATAGCCGATATGTTTTAGTATTCCAGCAAGAGAAAGTGTGAACAGCAGTATGTATGTAGTGCGATGAGACGTTCAGGACATGGATAGGAAACGGAGATTTTACTCATGAGCCAGCCCAGCTCCGAGTTGTACTTGTATCCAACAAGTGCGCGATGGCATGGACCAAAGAGCCAGGAGGTTAACCGAATAAGGTGGATAAACCATTTCAAACAACGGATGTCGATAGCTGTATAGAATCTCCTTTATGATCATGGACATAGGGTCTAGTAATTAAAAATTACGCTGATAGCTCTAGCGTTGTCATGCTGCTCTCGTGTATCTATTTCACAAAGTCATTCATTAGCAGCGTTGAGTTCGCAAAGGAAAGTGTACGTACGTCGCATCTATTTGTTTCAGCTGGGGCAGGGCAAGCATTATCTTTCTTCGGTACGCCGTCATATCATTGGTCTGACATGGGTTGGCCTCCAGGTATAGAGTCGTAAGGGTGGATATTGATTTCAATTCCTTTTCGAGAGACAGAAGGTCCGGGATCTTGTTGCCATTCATCTGAGAAGGTGTCAAAACCTAAGGGACGGTAAAGTAAAGGAAATAGATACCCAAAGTTCCTCCAGTTGTGTCAGATGTGACACGTTCTCAATTGCAGGAATGAAATTGTTCCCAATGTCAAGTGTCGTTAGTTGGAGCTGAACATAGCGTCAGGGTGTGGAAACATGCAGTCAAGGTGAGGTGCTCACGTTGTTATCCAACCCTTCCAATCGCTGGACTCCATTGTGGCTTAGGTATAGCTGATCGAGATCTTTGAGCTCTTCTAGTCCTTCTAATTTTGTGATCCTATTTGATTGCAGCGATAGTATCTTCAGTTTCTTGAGCGTGCCCAGGCCCTGCGTTACTTTGTTAGTCAAACAAGGATCATCTTCTCGATCATGGCACAAAAGAGCGTACCTCTAGCTTGGTAATTTTATTTTTACCGAGCCACAATTCTTCAAGATTCACCAGATTCTCGAGATTTTCGATTTTCTAACGAAATCATCAGCAAACGTCAACAACTTTTTGAAGTACGATGCTCACGCGAATCTTGTTCCCTCCGAGTTCAAGACTTCGCAAATTCGAACAAGAAGCAAGTCCGTCAATTCTGCTGATCTTGTTCTGCACGAAGTATATCGTATGCAAAGACGTCAAGAATTCTAGCCGGTCGGGCACAGCTCGTAGAAGGTTGAATGACAGATCCAGGACACTGCATGAGTAACATAAGCAAGCACATTCGCCGACGCGAACCATCGGCAATCGCACAAAGGAAGCGAGAACTCACGTTAGATTCGAAAGCTTATCAAGTGCGTCTCCTAGCGACTTGACTTTATTATCATACAGATCCAGTTCCTCCAGATTTGTGAGTTGATGAAACGTCTCGGGTTCCAGATGTGAGATGAAGTTTTGCCTCAAACACAGTCTCCTCAGATGTGCTGCGAACCGTGCCAGTCTCAATCCTTCAAGCGACCCAATGCGTGCGTGTAAAAGCTCCAGTTCCTAAGAATCGTTGATAAGCGTTGGATTGGTCCAATTGAATCAATCCATGAGTGCCATCCAAGGAAACGACGAAGCAGCATACCTGCGTGTCGTCGGGAAAGTCAGCCAGGAAGTCCCCATCGTCCACCTCTACGGCTTCATCATCCTCCGCTGCAGCTTCGTCATCTGTGTCCACGTCATCTGCACTAGGTAGGACAACTCTCGCTTTCGCAGTCGATCTTCGTACCCATTAAAAGAGCCCAAATTCAACTTTCAGAACAGGAAATGCGGCAACTAACAAACAAACCTGGGCTTGGTGGCAACAATCGCAGTCTCAGCATTCTCAAGGGAACCATTCAGTGTCGCAGGCTTTTCCTCGGTCGACATTTTCCCTCAGAAGACGCGTTGAAGAACGATTACAATATCGATAGTTGTAACAAAGCAACAACTTGAGTTGGAGAAGCTTTGAAATGACTCTACAACATTAGTGGCTGTGCAAGACCCCTAATTGGGATGACATCACTTCCGTTCAGGACGCTTCTGTCACGTAAGTAACAGACAGGAAAGGCATACCAAGTCCAATGAACTGGAAACTGGATTGTTACATTACAGTATGATGCGAATAAGTTGTCAAGCTAAGTGTTATGGAAGGCACCTGATTCGTGTCACACGTAAGAGCCCCACCACTTGTGCCGCCGACTACAGCTTCAGTGCCGTTCGTGATTATAACGAGGAAGAAAGAACGAAAGTCAAAATGAAGCACGCCTCGTGCAAACCAATAACGGCCAAAACAACACAATGCACCAGAAATGTTAAATCACAATTGACCCAACTACCAATGCATAAGTACTTTAATTACAATACCTACAACCACAAAAGCCGACAGGCCATTCAATCATTGATACAAAAATCGATTTAATGTGCTCCCTCCCCAAGTCCTTCTCGTCAAAGGGTGCATGAATATAAAGTATTGAATCTGTTGTCATATCGTCCATCTCGAACCGATACCGAAACCATAACCGAAGGCGTAAAAGATGTCACTGTGCGGAATGGGCAACGTGGGGCGTTAAATAGAGTAGTGTTCGAAGGAGCGAAATACATGGAGAGAGGGGTAGAGTCGACATGATGAAGTGGATGCGAGACGAGGACAACAAGCTGCTGGAAGTGAAGAAATACTGGAGTCAAAAAGCTCGGTCCGAGCCAGGTTATCCTTTTCGGCATCTGGTGTTCGTTTAAGATATGCTGGCTAACCGGTTAACCATTGTCATAGTCGTGCTGCGTCCCTGGCTTCCTATGGAAAGCCACAAGTCTTGTCCTTCATGTATCACGAATCATTGCTGTGTCAAGATCGATCTCCTAGCGTGTCGAGGTTCAGCCGATAGCGGAGTTGGTGGCAAGTCTCGCATGTCCCGCTCTCGTTCTCTCTCCCGTTCGTACGATGCAGGAGGTATAGTTGACGTCAGCGACGAATGCGTAATCGGAGATCCAGTAGGGACCATCGGCGAAAGCCGTCCTGCGTAAGTTGAAAGCTGGCCAAGCGGCGGCAGCTGGTTTACGTGCATGTGTTGTTGCTGCTCTTGCGGATGTAGTACAGACGGGTTCGACAGCGGCGATGGCACATTGTAGAAAGTACTTGCCGTACCCGAATACGGCGGTGGCGGTCGATTATCAACCCCACCTGGTGCATAATGCACAAAGTTCATGTTCGAAGCTGGGGGAGAAGGGGAAGGGGTCATGGTGTCTAGCATGTGGTGGCCCGAATGAGGATAAATGTCGCTACCTGATGCTGAACCAGCAGACGACGTTGAGAATGAACTATCAGCGTAATTCCGGCGAATAGCCGAGTACCCGGATGCAGACGTGGGTGGTGTGGCAGATTCTCGCTTGGAGAGCCCTTTCTCCTTGCGCCGACGCTGCTGTTGAGCCGGGTTGGGTCCCTCTTTCTTGGCTCGAGAACGAGCATATCTAAGGCCGCACCTGTTTCAGTGAAAAAAGCGTAAGCATCACAGGAATCCAATAGAGACCGAGTAAATCCCCTTACGCGTTACACAGCTCCTTCTTGCCGCTTGGGCCTTTCCGCCATTCAGGGCTCGAGGTGGCTTTACAGCTAGAACATTTTTGCACTCCCATGGGTCGATTACCCGCTGCACGAGCGGGGGCAACCTGATCTCTCGAGGAACCCGGGCTTATCCGGCGTCTTGGAGGAGGCACGACGTCAGAGGTTGGAGACGCCCCTGCACTGCTGGCAGCAGTTGGCGAATAATTATAGCTAGGTGAGAGAGAACGATCAAAGGCGGCCGCAGTTCCCGTCTCCAAATACGACGACGAGGCAGGTCCCTGAGGCCATCCTTGGCTGGGTTGAGATCCTGCTGACGGTGGATACGATCCCGATCGCAAGTTACTCAGACCATTTGGAAGAGGAGCTATAAGCGGGGCAAGACGTAAGTTCCGGGGTATGAGGATGTCATGGGAAATCCTACCTTGAGCCCATCTCTGTGGAGAATATGGTGCTTGGACGCCTGGTCCTTGCTGTTGTGCAATGAAGCTGTTATTGTACGACTGGCTCTGAGGTGAAAGCGGGGGAAGAGCATAAGAGCCTGCTTGCTCATAGTATGAGGGGGTTTGTGTATTATAATTCGCTGAGGCGTAGCCTAGTTGCTGCATCGGTGCACTGGCGCTGGCACTGCTGCGAGGGGTCGAATTGACCTTGTGGCAAGCAAAAATAATAGTCCCTGTTAAAGGAGGACGTTCGTTCGAGTTATACCTGGGAAAGAGCTGACTGAAGCAAACAAGGTTGCTTACCATGCGGTATGAATATGCTTTCTACCTCACCCCCAAAGACTGGCATGTCTTGCAATGCTTTATACCTGCGTGTGCAACTCGTTTTAGCATCGTTCCCGCCAGGTACCCCGCTTCCTATTTGGACGTTTTCCACGAGTTTTGAAAATTCCCTACTGGTCGGTCCTTGTGCGGAATCAGGGGGCCAGCTCATAAGTAGGACTTTCTCTCGTTGATTAGCAAGAATTTGGAAAACTCTGGACATGGATCCGGATTGAGGAATGCAGCCCAAAAGACGCCGGTAAAGTAGTTCGACCTGCTCCACCGGCATGAAGGGTGTACCACACCAATTCGTCCATTCTGTTTTCTGACCCTCATCATTGTCGCTTGGATTGAGGTCTACAATGGCATGGATGAAACATAACACGAGGCCTT